AGTTTCAAGTACCATTTGGTGCTACTTTTTATCTTTAGAGTACATAAGAATGTCGCCAATAAATACTATGACGAACTGGTCTAAGTACTGATAGAATACTCGATTCATGAGTTCCATAAATACAATTGGAGCATTGGCTAAACCAAATAGCATGATAGTGAATTCATAATATCCATAACGAGTTTTGAAAGTAGTTTTCGGTATATTGCTTTCCCTAACCTTCAGTTGATGATATCCCGATCTCAAGTCGATCTTCGAAAACATTGTTGCACCTCTTAACTGGTCGAATAAATCTTCTATTCTTGGCATCGGGTATCTATTTTTGATAGTCAAATGATTCAAATCAAGATAGTCAATGTACATCATCACACTCCCATCCTTCTTCTTCACAAAAAGTACTGAAGCGTCACAAGGAGGTACACTCGACCGAATGAAACCTTTTTTCAGCAACTCTTCTAACTGTAACTTCAATTCTTGAAGTTCTTTCTGTGCTAATCGGTAAGAGGCCTTAGATACTGGTACTGTTCTGGGAACTATGTCAATTGTAAATTCTACTTGCCTATCTTGTGGGATACTTGGTAGATCTTCTTGGAATACGTCTGTAAAATATAGCAGTTGTTTCAGTATATTTGGAACCGATGATATTAACTAAGAATCTCTGGCATGACTCCTTTCTCAACATCTTCTCCGCTTGTAAAGCCGATAAAAGGTGAGGTATGGACTTGAACTTTGCTCCAAAGAAATAGAACTCTTCCTCTCTGGGTCTATGAAATAACACTTCTTTCTCATGACATCGAATGGTTACAAGATTAAGTCCTAACCAATCCATTCCTAAAATAACGTCGAAATCTTTCATCTCCTAAAGGTGTAAGTCTGCGTGTAGTATTTTCCCATCAACCTTTAACTTTATAACTTTAGTCATCTAATTTGTGCAAAGAGTTCTTCCTGAAAGGATTCTGACCTCTAATTCATTATTCATTTTCAAACATGTAAAGTCAGATCTAGCGACAAAGGATGCAGAGATAAAAAAATTTGTAGCCTCATAGTCAAAAAGTACGTAAACAGGTACATTGTATAATAATATAGTNAGCAGGTACATCATATAATAATAGAGCACATGCTTTCGTAATTATAGTGTCAGACTTAGCGACAAATGATAAAAATCAAGAACATAGACGGGTTCTTCGAATAATAATAAAATACATGCTATCATATTCGAATACTACTACGTTTCATGCTGATTCAATACAAAAATTCGGGTCTTTCCTTTCTTATTCTTATTTAGATCATCGTCATTCTTCTTTGGAGGCTTTGTACAGTTTAAAGCAATGTGTCCCGGCTTACCACACTGAAAACACATGTTCTTTCCAAACAAGCATTCACACATGTGAAGTTTATTACACTTAGGATACGGTGTAATACTTCCTCTTGTCCCATCGATACTGACTCATGTGCTTGGTCTTTTATTCTGTCAGTTACGTTTGGCATTGTTTTGATCGTTTCACTTTCTTTTTTACAATGACTCCTTGCCTTGCTAGGCATACTGCTCAAATGTAGTCATCTGAAATGAAATAACATAGCCCTTTCCAACATTTCACGATATGAAGTGAAACGATGAGACATAGAGGGTGTTTGGTAGGAATTAAAATTAGAATTTTTAGTAGATTGTAATAGAAATTTTTGAAATGTGTGGTTGAAAAGTTGTGGAACCCATGAAAGATGTGGTTAATATTGATTGTTTGACTTTAACTTGGATTAAAATTAGATTTAATCCGGAACAAACAAGGGCATAATAATCATGCCTATCTCCGGGCGTAGTCCATTTTCAAACCTCCTGATCTTCTTAAGTTCAATATCTACCAAATGTGGGGCATTCCTTGAAAGCTGCTCAAACTGCCTCTCGTAATCAATAAGCGATAAGTTGTCATGCTTGAGCTGTAAAAACTCTGATTCCTTGAAGTCTCTCGAAGCGTATGGAAAGTACTTCGACATCATTTCATCCTTAAACTGCTCCCAAGTCATGTTACGCTGCTGCTCTCTCCAACAAACATAAACTCTGCGCATAGTACCTTTTGTGCATCCGTATAAAAATGTGTCGAAAGATGCGCTCTAGACCTCTAATCCATTCCTCAACAGCCGTGGGTCGGAACCACCGTCAAAAGGAAGATGCTTGTACCTACGAAACTGCTCAACCACTAAAACAGTTTCAGGTACAAACAGAGATGCGTCTTGCGATTGTGGTGCATTTTGTGGTGGAGGTGCTTGATTCTATCTGCTCAACTCTTGTATAGTTTGCTATAAATCACGCATCAAATTCCTGTAGGTAGGTAATGCCATATCCTAAAATTAGTATTAAGTTACCCCGTGACATACAAGTACTAAGTCTAACATGTTATACATATATTATCGTAATACATATTATGAATTTAGTGAGGAAAAACATGCATGTCTTAAAATTTAAAAGTAGGTAATTTAAAATATGTAAATTATATAAAATGTTTGAATAAATTCATCTTTTTACCCTTTTACATACCTTAGAGTCGTCGGAGGGTGGTCGATTGATAATCATTGAGTGCCAAAATTTTTTTACATATTTAAGAACTTTAAATTGACATCATCCTTAAATTCATATATCTTCAAAATTATTATTATTATTATTATTATTATTATTATTATTATTATTATTATTATTTAAAACAAGCATTACTCAAAGAAACGGCTAAATAAATAAGTATTTATTACGCGTAACATTCAATTATGAAAGTCCAATATTAATATTATATCGTCATTTTCATTTTTTATATATTGAAAATAAAATATCAGTTACTTCAAAAAAATACACACATGCCTAATTTATATTTTAAATAAATATAACAATTATTTTAACCATTAGAAATACACCTCAAAATTGACATTTTTTTTAAGAAAAAAATTTATTGTTACTTTTTTTTGTTTCCACTTTTCATCATGAACAATGATGTCACTGTTCAGGATGGACATTGACACGCTATCACTGTTCATGTGAACAGTGACGGTCACTGTTCATCGTGAACAGTTCATGCATTTTTGTCTCTATTCACGATAACGGTGACATGTTGTCACGTACCACTAATACTTGATTAGTAATGTATAAAATATTACTTACATAATACATATAAACACACACAGGTGGAGAAGAAAATTCTGTGACTTTGGATTCTTCTAGCAGATTGTGTCACTGTTCATTGTGAATAGTGACACACTGTCATGTCTCTTCAATTTTTTTTAAAAAAATTATTATTTTTTTTCTTCAAAACACAAGTTACGAAAATGCATATAGTTCTACAGAAATTAAACCTAAAACTCTGATACCAAACTGTAACGACCCAATTTTTTTAATATTTAAATCATTACCGAAAGTTTCATTCTGTAATTAAAATAAATGTATCAAATATCACAACATGAATTTTTTTTTTTTAATGTTCCACCGATATTAAATAAAACATAACCTATTAAATATGTTCTAAATTCTATAAAACAAAATTCACATAATAATAAAACTAAAATAATGCTGAAAATAAAATCCATTGTCACGTTACATAGGATTATTTTTTTTGAGTTCCATAAATTCTGACACCACAACTGCACCTCATCACCTGCCATTCAACGAGTGTACTGGATGGCCATATCACACATATCATATCATATCATATTTTTAACTTTTATAAGTATGAAAATTCATCAATATGAAGAAATAATTTAAATGGGGATAAAAATCAACTGCACCTCGTTAGATCAAATAAATTTGAAAAGTCAACTTAAAAAATAAAAATTAAACAGGACTAACCACTTGTACCTAGTATTCCTACCTCGTTAGATCAAATAAATTTGAAAAGCATAATCAAAATCACGTTCCAAATTTTTTATCTTCTACTTGTAGTGTTGCTGCCGCCCTATCACGTATTTATCTTCTCTTTCTTTTCCTTTCTTTTTTTTTCTTTAGGGTAGATAATGAGTTTTTTACATGGTATTTAAATTCGAAAAGGAATATTGAGTTTTCTTAGGCCTAAAAATCTATAAAATATTGTGTTTTTTTCATAAAAAATCTCAATCTCGGTATTCAATAAATCAACAATTACTCCCTTTTCTATTCAATCTACACGTGGCAAACTATCCCTATCAATTCTCAAAATCAAAGTAAATAAATAATAAAAAAATAAGATTAATTGACAGTCTATTCAATCCCCAAAATCAAGGCAAATAAATGATATTAAAATAAAACTAATTGACAACTCTTATCAATTCCCAAAATCATAGCAAAAAAATAATATTCTAATTGACACATGTGACTGCCCCCATAACCATTTTTTTATATATACAAAATCCTTATTTAATAAAAATCATTTGATAACTTACCATCAAACTTGCTCTACACGTGTCACTCTTGTATTATAACTCATTTATTAACTTAATTTAATAACAATTTAAAATAATATTTTTCGACCTCGATAACTTGGATCTCGCATATCTGAATTAACTTTTTCTCGAGTCTAATATACATGATTAATTACGATCTATCCAACGAGCCCAATGTTCATATACTTATCATCGCTTCGTCACTATCTAAATATTTGACCCATATAAAATAAAATTTAATATATAAACACTTTATTCCCTAACTTTCCAAAATATTAAAAATATAGCATATAGAATATCTAATTCTATTCTATAAATTTTTTTAAGACTTTACACTCTTCCACCGATGTAGTCTTGATTTTAGAGAATACCATAGAAGGTTTGGAGGTTTAAAACATCAAGTTTTTGCAATTAAAAGGCTAGAAGTTCGTGATTCGGATCTAGTTCAAGAATTGATCCTATACGTGAATATCTAGACAACCTTGTTTATTGAATTAAAGAGATTTTTTTAATTTATTGGTAATTCTACTTCTGCATTCCAACACAAGTTCCATATGATACCGATTGTACACACATGAATGATATCATTCCATTCTCCTTAATAGCACCCAAGCCCACAAAGTCCTGTAGTACAAAATGCACAAATAAGGCAAAGGCAATAACATCTACTAGGAAGACTACAAAATCATCGAAGAAAATGAAACAGGAAAGTGAGGGCACTGACAAAACATTGTTTAGAAATTCACAAGGTAAAAGTGGACTCGATATTGGTATTTACGAACTTAATAGGCAACTCAGAGAGGAAAAGCCAGATTGGAAGGATCAAGACCTTGGACTCAACCATGTTGCATTTGACGAGCAGTAAAATCTCAAACAAAAATGAAAATAAAAAATATAACAATGCTCAACACAGGGAATGAAGGAAAGGAGAAAGTAATTTCATTGAATTATTCACTATGTAATTTGTACATCACTATGAGGTATATATACATTCGGTGAGAAGGATCTAGAAGAGAGAATTTATGCTATATTTTACATAAAAGAAAATGGAAATAATTGGCTATACAAAACAGATTTACAACCGAGAATATGCTAACAGAAAAGTGGTCCGAGAATATGCTAACAGAAAAGTGGTCCCCTTTTATCTTCCACAGCAGAATTATTCTTTTGGTCTTCATCTTCCACAACTTGATTTTCTTCTTGCTGATCCTTTAGGAGTTGTGCTTGATATTTCAACATCGCCCGCAAGATGGAAAGTGGATGTCATAAACTCCCATCTTGTCCATATGTTTATAAAACTAATGTGAACTTAAAGCCTTAGTTAAAATGTCAGCAATCTGAGAGTTAGTATTAAGGTGTTTAGTAATCACACTTTCTTCTTGAATTTTATCTCGTATTAAATGGCAATCCAGCCCTATATGCTTCGTTCTTTCATGGAATACTGGATTTGTAGCTATATATAAAGTTAATTTGTTGTCACAAAACAAATTTTCTGCCCGTGGATGATCAATCCTAAGATCCTGGAAAAGGTATCTGGGCCAGGTTAATTCACAACATACATTTGCCATTGCTCTATACTCTGCCTTAGCTGAGGACCTAGCTATAGTATCTTGTTTCTTAGATTTCCATGACACCAGTGATGAGCCAATGAGAACACAATACCATGTTACACTTCTTCGTGTGTCAAGACACGCTCCCCAATCTGAATCACCGTAAGCATTAAGCTGGAGCTTTGAATGTGAAGAAAACAACAGTCCTTACCTTGGAGCTCTTTTAATATACCTCAACACTTTGTGTGCAGCTTTCAAGTGAGAAGTGCAGGGAATACTCATGAATTGGCTTAACAGGTGGGCTGAATAGGAGAGGTCAAGTCTAGTGATAGTTAAGTATAACAATCTTCCAACGAGTCTTTTGTAAACTGCAGGATCAGATAGAACCTCTCCATCATCTTTGGATATTTTCACAATTTGATCCAAAGGAACTCTGGCTGGTGCACAACCTATTGTTCCTGAATTAGATAGTATGTCTAAGGCATATTTTCGTTGGCAAATATATATCCCAACATCAGATCTTGCAACCTCTATTCCCAAGAAAGATTTCAGCAATCCCAAGTCTTTGATCTTAAATCTTTTGTCAAGCAAACCTTTGAGGGAATTAATGTTGTCTAAACTATCACTTACTACAATAATATCATCCACGTATACAAGGATCCCAATGAAAGAATTCTCTGCAGACTTTGTGAATAGGCTGTAATCAGCCTTTGATTGAGTGAATCCCTGTAGGATGATAAAAGCTAATAACTTGGAGTACCACTGCCTGGACGCTTGTTTAAGTCCATACAAACTCTTGACGAGCCTACATGCCTTCGAACCACCTGTATTGGGATGTCCAGGAAGGATCTCCATATACACCTTTTCATTTAGATCTTCATGTAAGAATGCATTATTCACATTCAAACTGATGTAAATGCCAACCCCTTACAACTGCAATTGCAAGTAATACTCTCAGAGTTACCATCTTAGCTACTGGAGAAAAAGTTCCATGAAAATCCAGGCCCTCTTGCTGTGCATACCCCTTTGCTACGAGCCTCACTTTATACCTTTCTATATTGCCATCAGCCTTATATTTCACCTTATACACCCACTTACATCCAATTGGCTTCTTACCAGTTGGAAGGTCTGTTATAGTCCAGGTGTTATTCTCTTCAAGAGCAGCTATTTCAGCCTTCATAGCTTCACACCAGTTAGGTGGGAAAAGGGCTTCTTGGTATATGCTAGTTTCAGTGTGTGTGGACATAGTTGTAATAAAATCTTTGTGCTTGTTAGAAAATCTGTGATATGATAGAGTAGCACCAAGAGGAAAATGGCTACCTAAAGTGATAAGGCTCCTTTGCTCATCCAACTTCTGTGATGAGAGAAGTGAGGCCTGCTGACAAATGTAGTCCTCCAAGTTAGCAGGAGCTTTTCTTGTTCTTGAAGATTTTTGGGCTAAAGACTGGTTGTTTATGATGTTGTGAGGCAGTTCTGTTGTTTGTTTTTGTAGTTCCGGTAAGGGTGATTCTGCGGCATGATCATCTGTCTCATGAATTGGAGAGATGTTAAGAGGATTGGTCTCTGAATTTATTGTTTCAATTTCATTAAAATTAGTTATAAAAGGACTGTATGTATGAAGTTTATTACTGATAGGATCAAGTTGCATTGGTTTTGCTTCTTTAGATGCACTACTACTTTTGTAAGGAAAAATTTCTTCGTGAAACACAACATTCCTTGAAATAAAGACTTTCTTGGTTTCAAGGTCGAGGAGTTTGTATCCCTTTAGTCCAAAGGGATAACCCAGGAATATGCATATTTGGCCCTTGGTTCAAACTTCCCCCTATGATTAGTTAAATTTGAGGCAAAGGCAAGACATCCAAAAACTTTAAGATGTCCATAATCTAGTTTGTGTTTGAAAAGCTTCTCAAAAGGTATTTTGTTATCTAATAATGGTGGGGGGTTATGTTAATAAGGTACACTACTGTGAGGATGCAATCATGCCAATACTTCATAGGGATAGCACTTTGAACCTTCAAAGCTCTTGCCATATTAAGGATGTGCTGGTGTTTCCTCTCAACTATAGCATTCTGCTATAGAGTTTCAACGTAGCTCTTTTGGTGAATGATTCATCTTTTATGATAGTAATCTCTCATCTCAAATTCTCCCACGTTATTAGTTCCAATCATTTTTATTTGTGATTGGAATTGGGTATTTATTAGAGCACAAAAACCTTGTAGGACAGTAGTGGCATCTGATTTACTTTTCAACATATAAAGCCATGTGCATCTTGTAAAATCATCTACTGTAGATAGAAAATATCTAGATCCATCATAGCTAACTTCACTACAAGGCCCACAGATATCACAATGTATGAGATCAAACTTATTTTCGGATTTGTGATGACTAGCAGAGAAAGGTAATTTATCCATATCGGCCATAGGACATACAATACATGGATCTTTTGTAGACTTAGAGAAACATCATTAACACATATTAGATTTAGTCTAGAGTTGGAAGGATGACCTAATCTGTAATGCTAGAGGTAAATCTTATTAGCCTTGGTAGAAATAGTAGCAAACGTGGAGGATTTATTTTGAATCAGGGAAAGAGCATATGTTAAAGACAAACGAGAAACTTGACATTACAGCAAATGGTATAAATCTTGCCTCACTTCACCAATTCCAGTCATTTTCCATGTCAAAAGGTCCTACAGAAAAGAATTTTTAGAAAAGAATACAAGACAGCATTTGGATGTTTGTGCTAACTTTCTAGCAGATATTTCGTTAATAGAGAAGGAGGGAACACAAAGGACATTATGCAGGGTTAAATGTTTTGTGATTTTTACAGTCCCTATGTGAGTGAATTTTTCCAAATCGACATTTGGAAGAAGAACTGAATAGCTTACTTCAGCTTGGATGAAACTCAGATAGGAGGTGCAGCAGACCATGTGGTATATTGCTCATGTGTCAATTATCCATACATGGGAAATCCTATCAATTTTGCTCATATATGCATATAGGTAAAGAGAGATACTAGAAAATTTTGGGATCTATGTGTCTGCATGGGTTGATGCAGTGAGACATTGGATGTTTTGGGATTTGAGTAAAGCCAGAAGCTGTGCATGTTGTTCTGGAGTGAATGACACCTGATTGTTACTTCTAGTACTTTCATGTTCCTACAAAGATGCCTGATTTACTGAGAAGTTGCCCTTTCTATATAGCTTGTGGCCAGGAGGATACCCATGTATCTTGAAGCACTTATCCACAGAGTGTCCTGGCATATGACAGTGAGTGCATGTAGTCTTGTTGGAGTTAGCCTTAAAACATCTTTCAGTTGAATGTCCACAGATTTTGCAAAAAGTGCAATAGTATTTCTTCTGTGTCACCCCAAACTGTTTTACTCCATTATTGTGAGTTCCTCTGGTTATTAGAGCCATTAAGTCAGGTATGGAAATATCTGATGAAATTTGCCTTCTTTTCTCTTCTTGTTGGACTAGGGAGTACACCTCATTGAGAGTAAGAAAAGGTTTAATTAACAGAACTTGAGCCTTCAGTGCTTTGTAACAATCTTTTAAGCCCATTAAAAACTTTATTACCCAGTCCCTTTGCTGATTCTCAATAATAGATCTAAGTCCTCCACAAGTACAATTAGGAATTAATTCATAATCCATCAGTTCATCAAGTAAGGTTTTGTACTTTGAAAAATATACACTTACAGTATCCTAGTTTTGCATTAAGGTAATGATAGCCTATTTTACCTCATAAATCCGTAGGGCATTATATTGAGCCAGCTAATGTTCAAGATCCAGCCACAGTTCTCGAGTTGTATCAGTATACAATGTGTAGGATTTAATACCAATAGACATGCTATTTTGCAGCCAAGCAATCACTATATCATTGCATCTAAGCCAATACTCCATCAAACGGCTGTTGGGATCTGCTGGCTCGGACAAACTCCCATCAATGAAGCCTAGTTTATTTTTTATTCGAAGTGCTCTCTTCATAGATCTTGCCTAAGCATAATAGTTAGTGCTGTCAAGTATGTGAGTAACCAGAATTGCCCCAGAACTATCATTTCCACCAATGTAATAATGGCTGCGTGGATCATTAGGATTCGGATTAGGATGATTGTTTGCTGTTTGATTTCTGTTGACATTTTGATTTGAATTTGGATTTAGATTTATCGAGTCCATTATAGTGCTATGACCATCAGTCATAGCAAGTCTCTGATACCATGTAAAATCTCAGACAAAAATGAAAATAAACAATGTAACAATGCTCAACACAGGGAATGAAGGAAATGAGAAAGTAACTTCATTGAATTATTCACTATG